CCATTCATTTCACAGGTAATTTATTATGATAATTAAACATAAATTCTCCAATATAGTTACACTATTTTTGATACTGAAAGGCTGAAGGTGCCCCTTCACCCAAAGTACATAATTATTTATTTATAGTACATCAGTTAAAGTACAGCATTGAAATTAGGTTCCTCTTATAATACCCACTGTACAAGAAAGTACAAAAATGAAAATTTAAGAAATAACAAATTGAAACCTAGGTAACCTTACCATTTTGGACCCTTACAAGCCCCATTCATTCCAACAAAATACACTGTCACGACACAGATGGTTGGTTAGAATCACAAAAATAAAATAAAATAAAATAAAAAAATAAAATAAAAATAAAATCTATGGAATCAGGCTTACAATAAACTGCTTCATTTTTTAAATTTAGTGATTTAGAGTTTGCTATTAAAGTTTAATACACAATTACAAACAAGAGTTCCAAGAACATTCATCATAACCCAACACCACAATTTCCAGAAAATGTAAAACAAAATTTGTAATATTCAAAATGGCAAAATTAAATTTCATCTTATATCACGTATATTCTCTGAAGATACACTACAATCTTGTTGAAAGAACTCAGCCCCCAAAAGCGCAGATGAGCAGCCTCTGAAAATATTATACATGCTTACATAGATACATGTAAGACTAGACTAGACTAGATTAAAGGTAACTAGACTGCTACCTTTCTCTGAAGAATCCTACATACAGCTCCATATGGCCATCAGCACAGTGTCAGATTTGCATTTTTTTAATCAAACAATGCTACAATAATAGTGATAACAATAGTAATGAAAACGTTCAAGGAAAACTTCTGTTCACTTCATGTGCTTGATAACCTTTACATAGAAAGAATATTAACTTTGAAATATCAGGAAATTCATATTAGAACACAAGAAAAAAAGTGCAACATCAAACCTGAAATCATCGTTAAGCCATCAGAATAAAATTCTGATGCCCAACTTCATAAGTGTTAGGAGAACCATAAGAAATTGTATTAAATATTTGGGAAAAGTCAAAACAATGTGCAGTTAACACAGTTCCACATTGCTGTTTCATGGCCAAATGACTTATAGTTCCCTTGCAATAAGCCCTGAGGTAATTTTGAACTTTAGTTAACACCTAGGAAAATAAGGATATAATTAGGCAAATACTGTCCAGTACACACAGATTTGTATACACATACTTTACTGCCAAATTACAAGATTTCCAAAAACATTTCAAGAAACAGTTGGGATGATTATCATCATCCTTCTTATTGGTATTTCAAAGACTCACGTCCATTACAACTGCACTGGGGAAGGTTCTAAGACAGACCAATGGCGTGAGAGATCCACAGATAACTATTAATACTGACATTCAAGAAATATGTTATGTGATAGGATTCAAAACTTGTACATATATTGCACTCTTCTGCATATGAGGAACTTTTATTAAGCAAAATAATGCATCATGTCTTAAAATTTTAGTGACTATTTCTTTAAGCTCATGAACATTTTCTTTGTTAAAATGCAAAAGCATTTTATGAAATGTTTTTCACCTTAAACACATCAACAAAACAAATTTGTGTGCTTCACCAAAATAGCTTGCTCATTCCCTATGTTCTGGAATAAAATATTACAAAGGGAAAAAGGAGGAATGTTACGTCAAAAAAAATAAATAAATAAAAAGATAGACTATGAAGTAACAAAGCTTTGTAACCAAATAAATGAAATATTAAGGGAAAATTATCCAAGGAAAAAATGGGGAGAAGGAAGACAGGGATAAGGAGGAAAGAGACAGACTGAATGACTACAAAAACAGGTGCACTCTGACAGAAAGGTTAAACAAACAAGTCTTTCCAGCCATCATCACCTAATTCAGTGTGTGCATGCATACTGCAAAATACATTGTGGTTTCAGCCATACCGCTGGGTTGTTGCCTTATCCAGATGGCAGCTGTACCTCAGCCACACACACAAACATACATGCAACTGTTAAACTTGTAGAATAAGTATGGAAACTTAAGGTTTGAGCATCTAAGCAACTAGAATAAAAAAAGCAGATGTTTATGATTCCACTTATACTTTCATAAAAAACATGTTGGCCTTCTGGAAAAGATTAAAAGAAAGCCAAGAAAACTCTATTACAGAGAGAAAAACAATAGTTATGTTCGTAACCAATGTTAAATATACATTATGATGGTTTAGTAACGTCACAGACTTTTTTAAAAACATTAAATGGTTTGTATTAAATGAACATTTACACAGAACATGAATTCATATAAAAGAGAGAAATCACCCAGCTTCTCTAACTTCACACTATGTGAAATTCTCCCAAGAGCATACTTTTAATTACATTGAACTGAATAATTTGCATTCACATTTTGTGACTTGCATTGATTTTGAGCTGGGAATTCTAAGATATGGATTACTTGCACTCTGTAAACATTCTAAGTGTTTCAAGTATTAGCATGAAACCTCAGAACTCATATTATTTAAGTAGATTAAATTATCTGATCAGCTGTGGGAACTTCCACAAAATACTTAGAACATTTGGCTATTTTTAGAGCAATAAAACATTTCAGTGTTGATTTAGGAAGTGCTCATGCATTTAAGTGTCTGCTTACACTAAAAATAATACTCTAACCAGGCAATCTTAAGCACCTAATTGAGATTTCTTTTCATTGGAAAATGAATATGCTGAATGTTTATGCATATACTTCAGTAATTTTCTGAATTAATATCTCAAGTAGAAACACTTACACCAAAACAGTTGGATGCCTAAAACATTCATATAGACTGGCATCCGCCCCTTTACATTACAGCTCTATCTGACCATCTGGATTTCTAATAGCAGGATATATTAAAAAAAAAAAAAGTTTTGCTTTAAAGGTTCATTTTATCTCCCAGGTCTAATTACAAATTTTTTGTACTTTCCGATAAAAATAGCCATTGCAGAAGAACAGAAAAATAACTATCACACAGAAATAGTCCTACTGTACTTTTAGAAGAAACAGAAGATATAATTATGAAAATACATATTTCAGCATTAGAGAGAAAGGATGTTAAGCATCCTTAACTGGAAACTTTGGTTTAAGCTTACTGTACTTTCAAAGCAAATACTGAAGCTCAGACCATTATCAGTTTCTCTACAAACCCTGCTTTCACGAATCTCTTATTTCTATTCTTGGGTATTTCGCCCCTAGTTTTCCAATATTCTTCTTTCTGTTCTCCCCTTCCTTATTGAAGGGAATTAGACAGTTTGTCTCAAATCACAATCATCTGTTTCTGTGTAATTGTCTTTTGCTCTGAACCTCAAAGTCAGAGGAAGAAAGCAAGAGAACAAAAATTCTAGAAGACTGAAATAAACATCTTCATATGTTAATGAATATGAATTAACAGACTACTCATACTTATTTCTTCACTGACTAAAATAAAGGATTTTATTCTTTTAAGCACTTGCTTACCTATCTGAATTTTCAATAAAGCTGGAACCTTACCTATTGTTGAACTTCTAAAAAATACCTTCTGAAATCCATGGCAATTAAAGTTCAAAAAGGAACCACTTAATTATTAGTGTAGTTTTTTCTTCAGCCTAATTAAGAGGTGCATCAGCAGCAGCAATGAAACTACTCCTTCCAAAATGTTAAGCAGTTTCTTTTTGTTGTTTTTAATTAAAACAAGCTGTATGAATAATGAAACTAAGATGGCCCACCTGATTTTTTTTTCAGTATATATAGCAGTATATAAAAGATTGCCTACAGTTGACTTATGTAATGCAAAACCAAGACATCTTTCTTGAGTAGAAACAACATAATCTGAGCACTTCAGAGATCAGCATCATAACAGCATATGGGGCAGTACATGTCTGTAGGTTTTTATCCTATAATCATGCCTTCCACATAACTTTTTAATAATGGGGTAAAACAATGGATAGATAAATGATCTGAAATAGTGGTTTGTACTATGTGCTTAGCATGCAACATCACTGGCAAGAGCAAAAGAGTCATAAAAGATGTAGTTTCATATCCATCTGGAATTTACTGAGATAGCTCACCCCAAAAAAAAACTTTTCATAAAAGAGCTAATATTTTTTATTTACTATTCCACAGTAACTACTTAAATTTATTATAAATTATCTTGAAAGCTTAGAAAAACTAGTTGTAAAGTTTCTTATTAGTGAGTTTGAGAGTAAATGCTTATTACATAAGGACTATGTAACATAACCTTGTCATTTTTAAATATCACTCTATGCCTCATTAATTTTCCAGCCAAGGCTCACATGTCATCTTTTAAAAAAAAAAAAAAGTTATCAAAAATATAAAACAGAACTCAATTTTATGAATATATGGTTTGTGGGGTAATTTTCAGATTAAAGTAGACAAAGATGTAACAAGTACTTGCTACAGCAAGATTAAAAGAACATAATATAAGTAAAATTCAACATCAAACAGACACAATCTTATACATGAGGTAGCTGGTAAAACAGCAGCCCTGATCAACTTTCTGTATATTGAAGTTAATGGAGCACTTAAGCATTATTACATTTTGAGTAAGAATCACTGTTTTCTCTGGGAAAATATATTCTGTTTACCCAAATTATTCATTGAGTGTTGTAGACAGAACTTTAGCAGGTAGGTTTTGTTTGGAGTAATTCATTTTATAATCCAAATTTATGAAGTAACCATGACTCAAGACAAATAATTTCCACTCAGAGTAAAACACAAAAACAGTCTTCAAAAAACTTAACTACTTTGGAAAAAATCCAGTTCAAAATAGTAGCTGTATTTGTGCTTAGAGTTTAGCACAAAAGGTGTGAACATCAAAAGAATGCTAAGCACAACCCTTAAAAGATTTTTCTAGAAGTACAACAAACTTCTCTGAAGAAAATTGAGATTATACATAATCAAATGTAAAAAAAAAAAAAAAATACAGATTTTGAAATGCCAGTTACTTCAGTACTGCCTTAGGAGAGGCAATAGAAGTTTTGGTAGTTTATTACCTCTTCAAAAATTCATAGCATTCTCTGCACTGATATAAATCATGCAGAAGCCTGATTTATCAGGTGCACCTTCCAAAATATCATGCGTATGCAGAGAACTAGGTATCTGCACTGCTATGACCATTTACCCTCTGCTCAGAGGCATGAAACTGGTGACTCACAGGTGTTTTACATTACACTCAAAATGCAAAACATGCATATGTAAGGAGTTGAAAGATTAACGAGAAGTAGAATTTGTTGTTTCAGTATTTTTAAAAACAAACAAACAAACAACAACAACCTGTAAAACTAACCATACCAACACCAATTCTATTTCAACAAAACCTTGAAGTAGCATATCTCCATTATTCATAGAGTACCTACTATCTTTCCAAAGGAGAGCTCCTATGGATTTACCTAACTTCTTGTTAGGAGTTTCACTCACAACTCTCCCTGAAAAGAGGAAAAGAGAACCCTCATCACTAACATTCATTATGGACAGGGTGCAATAATTTATTTTTTTTTTTGACACCGAGCATCAGACTCTGGCATAACATTTTTCCCTCTAAGCAGAGCACAAGCAAACCTTTCCTTATCATAAAAATCAAGTTAGACTAAAATCTATGAAGTTTCATTCTGTAGACAGATATATAATTGTTAAAATGATTTTAACAGTGGTGGTGCTGTCAGTCTTCACTGAAATCAGAGCCACTGCATGCCAGGCATCTTACAAAGGCATAGTGAAAAATTTAGCAATATAAGTGGGAAGCAGGGAAACAAAAGTCAGAGCTAGAAGGAACTGATGGATGTGACACAAGTTCTGCCAGGATGAGCTACATTAAAACTTCAGATTGCTTGTCAAAAAATGAAGGAAACAATATTGATGTTAATATTATTGTATGAAGTTACTGTCCTGTAACAGAATTGTTATGGAAGTCATCACATTTCAGCTGTTGGGGGCTCAAACACAAGCTGTGTCTATGCAGAGGAGAGAAAAGGCAATATTCAGAACAACTTTGGGCACCTGAATTGAACAGGCAGGTTCTCCAAGCCACAGCTACAGCTGTTAGAGACAAGTCAGACAAGCGAGACTGCTCTGAATCACTTGTTAGAGGACCTTACAATTTATCTTCACTGACTTCAGGGGAAAACTGGAGAGACTTCCTAGCTTAGTTTTAGCTAATTACATCAGGTGCCAAACTTGACTCATGTGAATACCTCCAAGGCTGCTTGCATTGGTTGGCTCAGAGAAGCAAGACAGCCTTCTGCACTACAAATAAAGACCTCTAATTAAATCCACAGATAATAAAATAGACTAAAACAGAAAACTGGCCAGTAAGATCCATATCTTTCCTTTAAGGAAAGATTACACATAGGAAAGAACATGACTCATTACTCTTTAGAGCTAAGGTTCCAGATTCAGCCGATAAGAATTGTTTTCCCCTCCCTATAGAGGGACATCACTGTAAAGCTATCACACTAAAAAACTATCATACTGAACAAACAAATCTGCTCTTAGGATCAAGCGTAGGGCATTAAGAGTGAAAGGATGCTACCTGTCCTTTGAAACATTCACCTATGAAGCATTTCCTTAAAACCTTGTCACCATGAAATACTTTGACTTTCAAGAAAGTAGGAAGGGAAGAGAGAGGAAAAAAAAAAATCATATTTCCAGTCTTTGCATGGGATGGAGCTTCTATAAGCCAGGCTGTATTTTCAGTGGCATTATGACAGAATATTTTTTTATTTCTGTAAATGTTTTGGCAAAAATAGAAACGATCCTCTGGCTAAATGATGTATACCGCAGACAGAAAACTGTGGCTCAGGACAAGTACAGCGCATGTTTAACCATGGAACACAGCTTGTGTTTATTTAAAGAGTGTATTGGAATGCCAGTGATTCTTTTCAGCTGTCCTATTGCTTTTTCCCCCCTCAACTTTTGTTTAATTTTTTCCATGGACATAATAAGGCAATGCTCAAATTTGGAAAAACCAGCAAACATGCAGTACTGTGAGGCAGATGGCAAGATATTCCAAAGAGATTCCATTAACAGCGTCTTGGACATCATGTGATGTAAGACAAAAGTGAACACTTGTAGCAGCCAACTGGAATTAATTGTTCTACAGTGACAACAGAGGTTGCAACCTACAGCTTGCAGGAACAGAAAGCTGAGAGTGAAATCAGAGGCCACCCACATATACAGAGGTGATATAAATCAAGTGTCCCAAGTTTGGTCACTGGTTCCAAATTAACAAAGCATCTGTCCTTAATTCACATACCCTGAAGGTTAAGAATAAAGCACAATATATAATGTCAAAACTGAGCTGGACTGGTTAAGAGAAGATTGCCAAACTGCGCAGCTCAATGCAGTGTGCAGTAAGTGCCTATTATGCAACCTAAAAGCACATTTGGTTTCACCCAAATATGTGTTCAGTTTTGACAGAAAAAAGTTCTTTCATATTAAAGCTGTTCATAGAAATGTCATCTAAGATCTCCCACCAGACTTGCAATACATCACACAAACATTTCTTTTCCTGGAAGATTTTGTTTTCACTTTGGAAAAATTCCTCTAGCATATGCTATAAGTATGCCACTGGTTACTTATTTTCTTCATCATTATTTTATGCCATTGGTTACTTATTTTCTTCATCACTATTTTCAATGTTTTAAAGCTGATCTTAAGTTTTCCACTATGCTGATATTTATAATAATATATGCGTAATTCACATGAAATCTAATAAGTAAATATTTGAGAAAATAAGGTAGGCACTTTTAGCTGGATGATGTGATTTACCTTATGGAATGAGAATACAAAAGGCTATGTTTTTATAATTTTTTTGTACTGCTAGATCCAGAATTGAATTGTATTTGCTCTTTGCTTCACAACTTCAGGTGGCTCAAATAAAAACACCAAAACAGAACAGCAGGTTTTTATACTCTCAAATCAAAACCATCAATTACTAAAAATCTTACTACAAATTCTTATCGCAAGCTTTTTGGACCAACGCTGTTTTGTGTCTGTCCCCTATTCCCGTGGCTCAGACAGATAAATGCTAGTCTTAATATTGATTTTTTTTTCAGTTTAATTCACTGTTTAGTCTATTTTACTGATACCATCTATGTATTCCACGCTCATCGCAATTCAATCTGAATCACTGCTTTGACCTCCTTGCTTTGGCTATCATTTACCTACATGCCTGTGATGGCCAACCTGTTAACATATCACATTTCCCTCATATATTACAATTTGCACTGAATAATTACAGTAAAAGAAAACCATAAGTCTAAGATTTCAGGGAGCAGTTGTTCAAAAGAGATGAGTGGATCACTCCTCAGTGACACCCCTTTTGGTTGTCTATTTTGTCATAGTATAAAAGAATATAAGTGCAAGCAGCTGTCATTTGGTTAACATAAAGAAATAAGTCTCAGTTAATTAGTGGCTTCTTTTAACACCAGCTTAAAACAAACGTGAATTATGAAAACAACTTTTAAACCATCAACACTTAAGGACTCTGTAGCATTATAGTATATGTAATGGGGTCTGTTCACAGCTACCTCATGCTGACTACAAGCTAGAATTCCCATATTTTATCTCCATTTCTTGTATTGGACTAACCTATTTTTTCTTTAGACTATTCATTTGTAAAATGGTTTTACTAATCTATAGCCCAAAAGACATTGAACATTGGAAGCTAAGTCTTTTACCATAGAAAAGCAAAGAATCAACAATGAATTCTTGCACGTTACGGAATACATCAACATAAAGTAGCATTTCATATGTCACTAAACACAAAGCACCATGGTGATTTCAGGTAATAGGGTAGTGGATTTGCATCTAACCTCTTGCTAAATACACATGAGTTTGGCTATTCTACGGTTTCACTTTTTTAAAATAAAGATTAGTGTTTGAAGTCTTTGATTTCAGCTCCTCATTTAATGAACTCTTTTAAATTAAACTAAACATAAATACACTTCCAGCCATTCATGCTATCAGGAGAATTAAGTACTAAAACATGGGTAGATATTTTGCTAAACAGATTTTATTTTTCTCCTTTTCCATTTCCTGATAAGCTGTCACAATGACCACATAGTACTGGATGTTTCCTTGCAAAGGACTCCTAAACCTTTTCCTAGTATAGAATTTAGTATTAACAGTCATGAAAAATATGTAAACTTGCCATAAGTTACATAAAACAGATCACAACAGCAGTCAAAAATCAGACTGCTAGGCAAGACTATTAGATGCAAAATGGCCTATATGGTACTTACATTCAGAAAAAAAGACTGAAATACATGCAGATTCTGATGTTCTTAGACTAACATTACCTGGAAAAATTGTGATGCCTATAAAATTCTAGTAAGACACTAAAGAAATGAATGCTGGTTTAATATAAATATTTGTCCCACTGTTAGAAGTATTTGCATTAGTTTAGTAACTGTATAAAGTTAGACAAATTACTCTTTTTGTCTTATAGACAAAAGAATGAGTTTTATTCAAGGTAACAAGCTAATATTTTCACTGTTTCATAAGCTTTTAAATACACTATTACAAAAAGAGCTTCTGTAATGTCCGGCATAACCTCTGTGCTTAGTAAGTCCTAAAAAATTCAACTTTTTAGGACCTAAATTTAAAGTTCTTCCCATAAAACTTTTGTTTGTGAAGTCATGCATGAGTTTAGAAATAAATACCAGGTAATGTCTAAACAGAGCTTTAGGAAACATGCGCACATACCAAGAAAGAATATAATATAAAATTCATCCCCGTTCACATCAAACAACTTTGACAAAAATACAAATGTGTTATTCAAGCTACAAGCATCCCCAACACAACTATAAAAGCAATTAGAAAGCATTGGATTTGCTACCATGTATTCACGATGTTAAAAAATCTTTCTAAATTCAACATACAGATGAGTCAAAATAAGCTTTTATAATAAATGATACCCCAAATATGAAATGAATTATTGTAACCCTCTAAATGAAGTTTAAAATCTCACCTATGCCATTGTTCTGCTGCTACATCCTTAATTGCTTGCTAAATAACTAACAGTCTACCTCTGTTTATCAAAATACATAATTGAATGAAAATAAATGCAGATTAAATGAAATGCTACACATTAATTTAAATGTAATTAGCTTCTAGAATATATGCCATGACTCCAAAT